TTTATTGGAAAATATACGGTTTTAAAACGATTTAATGTTTCGCAGCCGGTTAACAGTTCAATGAGCTGATTTATTTTTATTGGTGGTTTTTTAAAGAACACATCTGTCCATTTTATTCACAATTCAAGTATCAAATAGGTACATAAATAAATCATCCAAAATATTAATACAATACATAATAGCAATATTTCTTTATTATTTTTTGATTTTGGTTTTATTGAGATTTCTATATTTTCCCAATTTTTGTGGTAGAAATCGAGTTGGTATGCTTCTAACGTCTCTACCAATAACAATTTTGTGTGTTAACGATTTTATTAACACGTTTCTTTCTTTAATTATGCTTTTCATTGTTAAATATTATCTTATCTTAGGTCTCCCTTAGCTATGGCAGTCTGGAGGCGGTTTAATTAGGATGAGAAAGATATTTTCGAAATAAGTCTCCTATAAAGTGGAAATGTTCCACAAACATACTCTCACAAGTGTGTTCTCAGTTCTCACAGTTAACACGGCCGTTGCCATTTCAATTAACAGCCTAAACGGATTACAGTATCGACGCCTACGGCCCGCGTTAATCTTCGAGCACCGTATGTAAATCCCATGAAACGGTTCGGAAAGTGACCCGGGATGAAATGCGTTTACAACGGCCAATATTCGTCGCGTGATCCGGAGGCTGTAAATAACGCGGTAACCGATGCGCGCGCGCCGCTCAATGAACTGACAGCGGTGCTCAAACTGCCCTTCTAATCAGAATTACAATTATTTACATATTTTTAAAGAAGAATATTGTCGCGGGAAGAGCCTGGATGCGGGCAGCGCAGGACCGTGCATTGTGGAAAACCTTGGAGGAGGGCTTTGTCCAGCAGTGGACGTCATTTAGCTGAAACGAACGAACATATTTTTAAATCATCTTTCTTCAAGAATACCTAACACGTTCTAAAAGATAATTAATGCCAGATACATTTTTAGCAATTTACCGTAGATTCATGGATTGGTGTACACATGTAAATTAACAGTCGTATCGTACACAACAACTCTTGCATGCAACCAATCTAATGCAAACTACATCAGCTTTGCGTTAAATAAATCGTCACCTCGTCCCTAACCATAAACTTTCCATCTGTATTTTTTTCTTTTCATCATCAAATGTAAGAAAAAACTACTTTTCACAGTGTTTGTAACAAGTTTGAATACCAGTGCCATATGCCATCGCTACTGATTCCCACCAAAATCATTTACTCTCCAAAATGGTTACTCTGAACCCTATTCCACATATCTAAGCCTACGCTTGTGCTTTTTACGTTCTCCCAAATATCAATATCGGGTGTTCTGTAAGTTAATATGGCGATCAGAACCAATAGCCCGGTTTCGGTGTAAAATGGAATTTAGGGACATTTAGCTTTTAACTGTTACAGTCAAAACTCATAATCGGTCAAAACCACTTTTGACTGCAAAAATCAGTCAAAAGTGTAATATTTTTGTGATTTGTGCATAGAAAATGATCACACCTACCCTAGGTACTACTTTTAAGATATCTGGGTATTCGTCAGGTAAAAGATAAGTAAATTATACATTTGTTCGGTCGGATAGTTAAAATCTTTGCACTCAAAAGTGGTTTTGATTAACGCGCTTGGTCAGAACCACTTTTGACTGGAAAAATCAGTCAAAAGTGATATTCAAAGTCAAAGTCAAAGGTCAAAGTCAAAATTTCTTTATTTGTTTAGACTAATAAATAGTTCTTACAAATCGTCATTTTGCTCTTAAGGAGCCTCTACATGTCTCATAATCTTTTTACCCTACCAGCGCTTCGAGACCAACATTTGGCAAGTGCTGAGAAGAAGCGCCGCAACAAACTCAGTCACCACTGTCTGCCGGTTAATATAAATAAATAGAAATAGCAGTATATTGACCAAGAGAATCAGTCAAAACAACTTTTGATTGCTTTTTGCAGTCAAAAGTGGTTTTGACCGATTATGAGTTTTGACTGTAACATAACGACTGCGCCTGCGCTTGGAATGCTACGGTTTTGATGCTCGCCCAATAAACCACCGGGGTTTATGGCCGTGACAGGGAAAGAAGTGGCCACGATGATTATGAATTTATAATCAGACGGAAAGTCTAAATATTGGGAGATTTCAATTACTGCTGATGAGATAATGTGAGGTTTTATGTACGATTGACTTTTTATAGCAAAGTTAGATGGGGGATTTTAGAATGCACACCTATTTAGCTGGTCTTTAATGATATCCAAGTAGGTGTTGCATCTGAATTAAATGCAGTTTTACGGTCTCATATTTTTGAACTCAAAACAGGACTTGCTCTATAAATGTGTTCTATGAATTACAGTCTTGTTCTAATCGTATTATTTGAAGAAACTAAATTGATTTTACAGATTAAAGAAAATACAATGTATCTAAGATGAGATACTACGCGTACTTATGTTTATTTTGTATTTTTAAATTGTCCTATATTTTTCAAATCTGCACCATTATACACTATAAACAGAGCATCATGACATACTCGTATTTTATGAGTTTATTACATTTTAAATACATGTTTATAAGTTATAATATCAAAGTCCTAATCACTCCCGAGTTTCATAAATAACTGACATTAAGAGCATAATTAACGTAATTTACATGTAATTATTGGACATAGATGTCGGCTATGTTTGACGGATTTACTGTGGCCGTATATCACGGATTATTTACAAAGGTAACGACCGAAAACGTGTAGTATGGATAACGCACGAGCTCGCTGCGTTGGCTTATACAAGTGGCTGCCTTTGATTCCGTTCATTGGAGGAGGTCCGGATCTTCAGAGCCAAGCGCTCCACTTCCGATGCAGTTCACAGTCTGACTGAATATGTAACTGAGGAACTTGGTAAAGGCAACAAAACCCTGGGAGTCTTCCTTGACCTAGCCAAAGCATTCGATACTGTATCTGTTCCCATACTCTTAACCAAAATGGAGGCAATGGGCATAAGAGGCACACAGCTAAAACTCTTCGAGGACTATTTAAACGACAGATACCAGTGCGTTAGGATAGGAAATATCACAAGTCATGAACAGAGATGCTCTGGTTTTGGTGTTCCCCAGGGAAGTATCCTGGGCCCTACCCTGTTCCTGATCTACATTAATGACTTGTGCAACCTCAACATAGGTCATGGTAAACTTGTATCATACGCCGACGACACAGCGCTATTATTCACAGCCAAAACCAGCGCGGAGCTTTATGAGACTGCACAGCTAGGTTTTAACATTGTAACTNAAGAGGCTAGCGGTACCATATGGTACCAGCATTTTTTTTCTAGATTACAGGTCCGATAAATTTTTTAATGCTTGTATAGCATTATGTAGACCATAATTATGAACATATTTCAAAAAAACAAAAATCTGACACTTTAAGAAAACTCAGTCTATAATGGGTTAACTACTTATTTACCTCTCAGTGTCTTGAGGCAACTTAAAAACCGGCCAAGTGCGAGTCGGGCTCGCGCACAAAGGGTTCCGTAGCAGCAAATATAATAAACTTATTATGTCAATTTATACACCTGGTGAATGGAGCCTANTTTTTTTTTTTTTTTTTTTAATTATTACTTAATTACTATTTTACGTGTGATCTTTTTTCGCCTGAAACACAGGTTTTTAACCTAGTTCAGGCTACAAAAGACTATTGAAATATATGTAAACTCTAGCATAATAAGTTCTTATAATGTTCTTATTTTGATGAATAAATTATTATTATTATTATTATTATTATTATTTCCATAACACCTCTAGGCGCAGTTTCGATTCAGAAATTGGATATTCAAACATCTCTTTCCCCCTCTTCTCTGCTTGCTGAAAACCGGGCCTTAACTATGTGTAATGTCGATGTAGTATAACTATTTTCTTGTGATGTGGACACAGGAAATAAACCCTTAATTTGCATATAATTTGTGACATAAATATCTTAAAAATAACTTGTAAAAAATCGATCTGCCTAAGGTGGCAATCGAAGCCACGACCTTTTGCTTGTCAGGCTCTTCCATCTGAGATACTTATGCCAGTTTTCACCATCAATCCCTAATTTTTAAGTGACCCCTTTGAAAACAAAATTCCTATTATGTGTTACCATAGGAGTCACTTAAAAATTAGGTATTGATGGTGAAAACGGGCATTAGACACACTGGATGAACTTGTTGATGACATAATTTATCTTTAAGTGGCCAGTTTCACGTCAGTTTTATCAGATTTTCATTCAGTTTGGTAAAGTGTTGGTTACCGTTTTTATTCTTTTGGGAGCACGCGGGCTCCATCCATCGCGAAGCCCTACCGGGACACCTCCATAGAGCACCATGTGTAAGAAAGGCCTGTAGTCAATAACAGTACTTAATTTATGTTTATGTTACGGTTATTGTGATAAATTGAAAATTATGAATAATCGCCCGTTATTATGAATAATTACCGACAGGCTTGGTAAAAGTGATAAATTAATCACATTTATCAGTGATTATTTCATAATGTAACCTTAATACTAACAAACACCATAAAAGAGAACACCGGCTCGTGTACAGCGCTCATGTACAGCATCACATTTTGAACGTTTTGATATCATATATTAATATAATTTGGCAAAATGAGTTTGGAATGTTTTTTGCATAACATTACTTTGCCATAATGCCTATAACACATTGTTTTGATTTAAAGTGAAAAATAGCTTAGGGTGCGGCGCTATTTAGTTTATACACACTAAAATGATCTCATATTAATCACATTTACCAAATCATGCGGTAATTATTCATAATAACCGGCGATTATTTATAATTTTCACATTTATCACTTTGACTGTAACATTTACACTGCTATTCTTAACCCATATGTATATGCCCAGAGGCACGAAAATGACCCAATGGTACATGTTTCCTTGCGATGCCTATAAAAGAAGCTGTAAATATGCCAAATTAATAACATAAAAATAGGAGACCTAAATAGTTCTGAGCATAAATGGGCTAATGATGTATCGTTGCAGATGACATGCGCATACTGCACAGCGTGTCATCCGCGGCAGTCCGCGCGGCCCGAGCGGAGCTGACACGGCGCGCGAGCGCGGGCGCGGTGCCGGCGCTGCTGTCGCTGGCCGCGCCGCTGCTGGCTGCCTCCGCCGCGCTGGTCGATGCCGCTGCCGGGCTTATCATGCTGTGAGTACACTACAGCCTGGTCCGTGAGCACGTAGAATTTCATCCAATAACCCCAAGCTACCCATCCTTATCGCTCGGGCGGAGCTGACGCGGCGTACGAGCGCGGGCGATACCGCTGCTGGGCTCATCATGCTATGAGTATACTTAAATGCGCGATGGGCGGCCGCAGTGACTGTGCGAGCGCGACAGCAATATAATTACGCGCGAGCGATAAGGATGGGTAAGGACGAAATTCTACCTATTAGGGATGTACCGCGGAGTGTACACGCGACGTGGGCGCAGTACCTCGCCGCCCGTGGCTGCCTTCGCCGCGCTGGTCGATGCTGCTGCCGGGTTCATCATGCTGTGAGTATACTAAACGACTATAGACTAAAGTCCAGTCGCCGAGAATTTCGTCCAACTACCCTAAGCTACGCGACTGCACGACGTGTGACCGCAGTGAGTGTGTGAGCGCGACAGCAATATTACGCGCTAGCGACAAAGCTGGGTAGATTGGGGTTATTGGATGAAATTCTACGTGCTCGGCGACCGGACTTTACCTATTAGGGATGTACCGCGGAGTGTACACACGACGTGGGCAGCTGGTGGCGCCGCTCGTGACTCCCTCCGCTGCGCTCATTGAAGCCGCCGCCGGGCTCATCATGCCGTGAGTATTACTGGACCACTTCTAGGGACGTGACGCAGAGTGTAAACGCGCGCGGGCGCGGTGCCGGCGCTGCTGCCGCTGGCCGCGCCGCTGCTGGCTGCCTCCGCCGCGCTGGTCGATGCTGCCGCCGGGCTCATCATGCTGTGAGTACACTACACGACTAAAGCCCGGTCCGTGAGCACGTAGAATTTTGTCCAATGACCCCAAGCTACCCATCCTTATCGCTCGCGCGTAATTATATTGATGTCGCGACTGCGCGGCTGCAGTGAGTGAGTGTGCGAGCGAAATTTTACGTGCTCGGCGACCGGACTTTACCTACCGCGGAGTGTACACGCTACGTGGGCCGCCGGTAGCGCCGCTTGTGACTTCCTCCGCCGCACTCATTGAAGCCGCCGCCGGGCTCATCATGCTGTGAGTATACTAAACTATTGGACCATTACTAGGGATGTATCGCGTAGTGTACACGCGATTCGGGCGCGATGCCGGCGCTGCTGCCGCTGGCCGCGCCGCTGCTGGCTGCCATCGCCGCGCTGGTCGATGCTGCCGCGGGGTTTATAATGCTGTGAGTATACTTAACGACTATAGAATAGTCTATAGTCGCGACTGCGCGATGGGTGGCCGTAGTGAGTGTGCGAGCGCGACAGCAATATCATTACGTGCGAGCGATAAGGATGGGTAAGGACGAAATTCTACGTGCTCGGTGACCGGACTTTACCTATTAGGGATGTACCGCAGAGTGTACACGCGACCCGTGGCTGCCTCCACCGCGCTGGTCGATGCCGCCGCCGGGCTCATCATGTTGTGAGTACACTAAACGACTATAGACTAAAGTCCGGTCGCCGAGCACGTAGAATTTCGTCCAATGACCCCAAGCTACCCATCCTTATCGCTCGCGCGTAATCATATTGCTGTCGCGACTGCGCGACGGGTGGCCGCAGTGAGTTTGTGAGCCACGACCACTATTAGGAATGTACCGCGTAGTTTATACGCGATTCGGCGCGGTGCCGGCGCTGCTGCCGCTGGCCGCGCCGCTGCTGGCTGCCTCCGCCGCGCTGGTCGAAGCTGCAGCCGGGCTCATCATGCTGTAAGTACACAAAACGACTATACACTAGTCTACATGGGTGGCCGCAGTGAGTGTGCGAGCGCGACAGCAATATAATTACGCGCGAGCGATAAGGATGGGTAAGGACGAAATTCTACGGTGACCGGCGACCGGACTTTACCTATTAGGGATGTACCGCAGAGTGTACACGCGACCCGTGGCTGCCTCCACCGCGCTGGTCGATGCCGCCGCCGGGCTTATCATGCTGTGAGTACACTACACTACTATAGACTAAAGTCCGGTCGCCGAGCACGTAGAATTTCGTCCATTGACCCCAAGCTACCCATCCTTATCGCTCGCGCGTAATTATATTGATGTCGCGACTGCGCGACGGGTGGCTGCAGTGAGTGAGTGTGCGAACGAAATTCTACGTGCTCGGCGACCGGACTTTACCTACCGCGGAGTGTACACGCTACGTGGGCCGCCGGTAGCGCCGCTTGTGACTTCCTCCGCCGCACTCATTGAAGCCGCCGCCGGGCTCATCATGCTGTGAGTACACTACACTACTGGACCATTACTAGGGATGTATCGCGTAGTGTATTCACGCGATTCGGGCGCGGTGCCGGCGCTGCTGCCGCTGGCCGCGCCGCTGCTGGCTGCCTCCGCCGCGCTGGTTGATGCCGCCGCCGGGCTTATCATGCTGTGAGTATACTTAACGACTACAGACTAAAGTCCGGTCGCCGAGCACGTAGAAATATTCTAACATTACACAACTGGCAACAATTGCACTGCCGTTTTTTTGTATTTATCGTCTAATAAGCGACAATTTCAAACAACACTTCTCTTTCACAGGTACAAAAAGATCTTCTCAGCCATGAAATCCGCAAACAAGATACAAAAAGACGACCAAACATACATGGAGCAGTTTCGCACCTTGCAGAGTTACACTTGCGACTTGATCAGTTGTTTGTACGGCGAGGAGGCGTTCAGAAGCCGCAACAACGGCATCGTGTTCGAGAAACTTTCTCCTCAACTAGTCGGAAAATTGTACTCTCTAATGCCAGACATAGATACAAAGTTCAGCCTTCGGAACCACATAGCGTTCGCACCGTACACCTATATGCANTTTATATAACTGTAAAAAAGCCGTATTTAAGTACCTTTAATGTTTGACATATGACTTAACTGAGGAGCTACTTGTAGTACCTATGTAATCTAAGTTTTAACCTAAGTATTTTAAAAAATTGTATTTAATATAGCAAATTGTTAATTTATATTTAATCACTAGTTAATGTGTGAGCTTTTTTCGCCTGAAACACAGGTTTTTAACCTAGCTCAGGCTACAAAAGACTGTGAACTATATGTAAACTCTAGCATAATAAGTTCGTATAATGCTCTTATTTTAATGAATAAATTATTTATTTATTATTTATTTATTTTATTGGACATTAGAAAATCTTTTTATTTTCAGATTTAAATTATGAGAAAATCGACATCGATCGATGTTTGTAGACGCAGCAATGTCAGCTAGTTCATATTTCATTGCACAAAATGGTTATGTAAAATGATCTAATTTTATGAATTAATTTATTTGTCACTGTCGTTGAGTTTTAATTTTGGTCTGACTAATAAGACGAATTTTTTTATAAAATAACATCAATAAATCGTACCGCGTATATATTTAGCTAATTAGGTATCTTGTGCCTCATTTAAATTCTCTGTGGCGTATCTTGTCAACTAAAAATTCTCCAATGCAATTTCAACAAATTAGGTAAATTGCAGACATAAATAATTGCTGTAATCAAACAAACAAACATTTTATTTATTTTCATGTATGGGAATTTAGTTTAATATGGTCCAGCGGTGATTTGCATGTGATCAACAATTAGTGGACCTCCCATAGTTTAATGGCATATTTGTTTTGATGATATTCATATTCATCTTTTGGCGGTTTTGTCGCGTGTCCAAAGTCTAAGGGACGATTCACATGGCGAAAGCCATAAAACTATTGATTTATTTACTAAAATAACAAAGAGAAGGAGAAATTTTCGCTTTACCCCACTTCTTGCAACTTTTTTTCGTATAAAAGATATTTTTTTGATAAGAATGTAATAAGTAATGTATTTTTAATTAGCATCAAAGCCAAAGTCAAAATAACTTTATTTGTACATAGACTGTTTAAATAGTTACAAATCGTCAATTAATATTTTGCTCTTAAGGAGCCTCTACATATCTCATAAGTAAAGGGTAAATGTATTTCTTTCTGAGGTTCAGCAGTTGACTCAGGATTATCCCCGCAGGGTAGGTATGCGATTCAACGCACATTTTCCCCGTAAAAAAAAGGATTAGTTGGAGTTTCCGTGTACGAGTAGAATAGATCAAAACTTAGGCGGCCCATAACTAAAGGAGCTCGTGTGAATTAGCCCCTATAATTAGAGCTAGTTTTGACAGCTGTCACTGTTTTAGTTGCTGGAAAATTATTCGGTCCCGGACTTTGGGGAACTTTAAAGCTCGCCTCGTTTACGGTCGTGCTTTATCGCTTTTCGTTATGCTTTGACTTATACTTTTAAATGCCTATTTTATGCTTCTTATCTCTCCGATCTGTTTGTTTGAATATTTAATTACAACTTATCACTGGCTAATCGTAACGCCGCTAGTGATATTTGGAAGTCGTATTTCATTTTTATGTTTGTTACTGTTTACATTTGTTTTTTTTCTTCATAATAACGTTAAGCTTTAGAACAGTATATGGGAAAACGTATTTAAATTAATGTAGAATTTAGAGTAAAAATGAAGACTTAGCTGAAAGCTTAAATACTTTATTTAATTTGCAGTTGCGATACAAATTCTCAATTAGGTATTTGTTGTTTCGATCTCAGGTACAAAATACATCAACGCTCCTCTACTACGTTATTGTACCCACTAAATATTTCCTTGAGTAATGTAGCACTGTAGTTTAATCTTGAATGGGAATCGCAAAGTGAGTGTGTATTACAGTTTTACATTTTTTTGACTACGATTTACTAAAATACACTAAATATGAAGTAACCAACATAGCTCCCAGAATTGCTAAAATCAAGTGGCAGTGGGCGGGGCACATAGCTCGTAGAGACGATGGCCGTTGGGGCAGGAAAGTTCTCGAGTGGCGACCACGGGCTGTAAGACGTAGCGTGGGCAGGCCTCCTACTAGGTGGACCGACGATCTAGTAAAGGTCGCGGGAAGAGCCCGGATGCGGGCAGCGCAGGACCGTTCATTGTGGAAAACCTTGGGGGAGGCCTTTGTCCAGCAGTGGACGTCATTTGGCTGAAACGAACGAACGAACGAACGAACGAACTAAATATGAGTACGCAGTGCAAAAGACATCAACGCGTCACTTGCTACGTGCAGCGCCATCTATTGAATACGGGACTATTCCCACCTCTCGTTCCCACCACTGCAACTCCTGTGTAGCCAGGATCTACAGCTTGACCGTCATAAAAATCCAACCAATGAAGGTCAAGTTTGTCCCGGGGGAAAGTTAAACTGTCATTGGACCCGCAACGAAATTAATCAGAAGAACATAGGAGTTTGAAATTAAGGTTCGACTTCTCTCCATTGCAAAACGGATGACAGGTGACAAACAAAGGTTTATGAAAAACATTTATGAAAAGATATGCACCACGAACTGCTCTGCTCTGCTGTGCTGCAAATCCCCCGTAATTGTAATGCATTNACACACCTTAACTGGAAAAAACATATAGAAACCACTAAATCAAAAATATCACAATTCATATACGCGCTAAATCTCCTCAAAACAAACACAAATAAACAGTGTGCCCTGACCGCTTATTACGCCTATGCCTACGCCTGGCTTCGGTACGGAATCGTCATGTGGGGCCACACCGCCGAAGCTAAAGACCTATTTGTGGCCCAAAAGAAGTGCCTGCGTATAATTGTAAATATTAGCAGAAGGGAAAGCTGTAAACCACATTTTATCAAGGAACGGGTCCTAACTCTCCCGTCACTGTACATAATGGAAGCTGCTCTATTCGTAAAAAATAATAAACATCTGTTCCAAAACGACAAAAATATACGCCGCCGACACCAACTTGCACTCCCAGTCCCTAAGTTAGAAATGTACAGAAACGGTCCACAGTATCGCTGCATCCAAATTTATAATAAACTCCCTGAATACCTAAAAACTGAAACAAAAACAAATACATTCAAATTTAAATTGAGATCCCTATTATTTGATAAAAGTTACTACAGTGTTGACGATTACATGAGTGACCTAACCCTTAAAAAAATGAAAGAGAATGTGTCAATATCATCAACAAAGTAAAATGTAATATAGTGCAATATCCAACTCATAATAATAAATAATATAATAATATAATTTACTATATGTATAATTGTACAATAAAATAATGTAATTATTATTAAGGCTAATTATTACCATTAAGCATTCGTAATTGTTAATGTATTCGTAAATGTTAATTTAATTCGTAGATGTTAACTAGTATTAAATAAGTAAATGTAACTTTGCTACACCCTTACAGGGTCAATGTATGAATGCATGTATACCTGTATGTGCTGAATATGTTATTGCAAATGAATAAATAAATAAATAAATAAAAATAATTGATATATAAACTAGCGGCCGCCCGCGACTTCGTACGCGTGGATCCCGTTTTACCCCCTTTTCCCGAATTTTCTTTGCTATAAACCTCACGGAGCCCGAGACCTTTCCAACGAATGCAAAACCGTGGAAATCGGTTCGTGCGTTCTGGAGTTATAGCGTCAGGGAGGAAAACCCGACTTATTTTTATATAGTAGATAATTAATTAATTAAATTATCACCGGGAAATCTTCAAATTTTACTGTCCACCGTGTCTCGTTAAACACTCGACATTGGCGAAACTAGTGTGCTTCAAATACGCACAATTGAAGCCATTAAACAGAATAATAATGAAAAGATATGCACCACGGACAATAAATATCAATTAAGGGGGCCTATCTTATGAGCAGTTAGCTACCTGTCAGTGATATTTTTCACAAAATCGCTTTAAAGCACGGAAATTTTTCCTTGTCGCGACAAGATCGCTACTTATTGAATGTAATACACATTTCAACACAGTCGGGGCGGGCCATATTTATAAACTAGCTGACCCGGCGAACTTTGTTCCGCCTTAATGGCAATAAATAAGCAGACTTTTTTTTTAATTTCGAACGGGATAAAAAGTATCCTGTCCTTCTCCTGGCTCTAAACTACCTCCCTGACAATTTTCAGCTAAATCGGTTCAGCCGTTCTTGAGTTATAAGTGGAGTAACTAACACGACTTTCTTTTAATATATAGACTAGCTTTCCGCCCGCGGCTTCGCGCGCGTGGACCCCTGAACCCAATTTTTTTCCAAAATAAAATTTAGCCTATGTTACCCGTGGATAATGTAGTTTTCGAATGGTGAAAGAATTTTTAAAAACGGTCCAGTAGTTTTTGAGCCTATTCATTACAACCAAACAAACAAACAAAGTTTTCCTCTTTATAATATTAGTCCTCTTTAGAAATATCGCATACGACCGTGTCTAGTGGACTGACGGCCGATGGTATCACCCCGCGTAACTCAGCGCTGCCGATGCTATCGGCCAATAGTGATGGATGCGACGCCCAACACTCATAATTCCATCAGTTTTACACGCGGTTTTGTTCGTGTTTCACCGATAACAAGCCGATGTTGATGGGTGGTGAATACCTTACAAGAGCCATCATTTGTAGTTAATCTTGTCATCTCTTGAATTAATGTTTACTTGTAAAAACTGTTTCGGCTGAAGGTTTCGTTGGGTGTCGTGTCTTTATGTGTCAAAATAAATATGAAAATTATTCTACTATCGGAAATGGACTATCGAGGCTACGTTGCTCACAGAGGTTGATTTTACTGTAGAAATGTTGTTAAATGTGTTAAGTAGAACAAGAGTCTACGTCTTGTAGTCGTCGTACGTCGTACGTCCGACCAAAGTTGATTTTGATAGCAAGTACCCGACCAATATGTATTACTATTTCTTTAAAGTGCTACACTTTTTTTTATGCTAGACATGGCAGGTATTTGACCGCAATCGCACCTGGTGTTAAGTGAGATGCAGTCTAGGATGGTTCTTT